TCCAACAGCTTTCCAAAACAGGCTTTGCATCCCACCAGATACCGGTTGCTGGCAAATATTCCGTGAGGACAAGACGCAGCTCGTGAATGAAGTTGATTACAAACTGCGATATCCGCGCTTTCATGGCTCAGGCCCATGTAGTTACTTCTGCAATTTGCTTTAAGTCCTACAATCCATGTTGGGCATTTGCTAACCCGATGGACAGGACTAGGATGGCGAGGTTCATTGAGCTAAGGACAAGTTCACTGCTCAATTTTAAAAAAAATAAGCTTCCAGTACTCACCTATTCATCTTCATTTAATCTAACCATGGAACACCTAAGCTCTCTACCGAAAACCTCTCCACTCACATCAATATACATGAGCTGTCAAATTACCTTCAGTGTGCAAACTTGACACAAAAATGAGTCACAGATTCATGTTAGTGGTGCCGCTTTATTTCAGAAAGCTTTAATAGCTGCCACTGGCAGCAGCATCCGCTGTTCTTATCAGAGTATACCGCATTATTTGGTTGCTAATCGATGTCATTCTGGTTGTCAGTTTCTGGTCAGACTGACTAAGTAATTGAGGGTGCAGACATTTGGAATTCTGTAGCCGGCTAGCACTAAGTCGGTTCTTCCTCCCCTTTCACCTCCGTATGGATAGTGACGAAAGCTCACAACATGCACTCATTTTATTGTTGGTAGCCCCAAGGCTTAGTTGCCATATTTCCACTAGTATACCAGATTCTCATGTTCCGAGCCGCCAAAATAGTGCATAGTCGGTTTCCATTTGATGCCTCTTCATTGGTCGCCTGGAGTTGATTCGCCCGGGAGTGTTCGGAAACTATACGCATTGATTTTGGGACCAATTTAATCTTGATTCGTAGCCGACGAAAATGAATAAATTGTTCCAAACATACCATTTTCGGGCACAACCAACTCAACATGATACTGGGGGGTTATTCAACCTGCAATACATGTCTGAAAAAATACGGATTTCCAAGTTTTGACCAAGGCTTCAGTAATACTTAGATTTAGATAAATTGGGCGAACAAAAAGTTAAGCATGTGAGGTCTAGTATTTTTCATGTCCCAATTTGTATTTCGGGAATTCGCGCAATCAGACAGATTCTTGCCCATATATCTATCTCATTTACAACGGAGATTACAAATTAGCTGTGTCCAAACTCCTTCATCCTCCGTACCGTATTGCTCCGTCCTACCCTACTTTAGTTAGTTACCACCCCAGAATGTGAAAAGTGAAGACTAGAACGAGAGCAAACATGAGGGTTTGATAGAGACTAAAACACACACTTTAAAGGTACGAGCTCGCTAATTAGAACAAGTAAAGCTCATAGAAGTCCCCATCCCCGGGCCATGCTGCATTTCTATCGAAGCTAAAACGACTTCCATGCAGGATGATGTCTTGCACGTAGAATGTGCATTTATGTTTAGCTTAATGCATAATTAGTCTTAATAAGCGACCTTCCGAACTCAGTCATCCAGGTTCATCAGGCCTTAATCCTTCATCTACGACCACCTACGCTGTTTGACCACACCCACGTGACTAGTCTCCTTGTGTCCCGTCCGTCGCGTCTTTAGAGACTGGAAGTCTCATAATCGTTTGTGTGCCGAAAGTGCGCTTGTCATTGTCTATGGAAAGTATTAGCAAGCTTCTCGGTAATGAAAAGAATCATCCAACTTTCGGACCAAACTTCAAAGCGGAAGTCTAAAGACGGGTTGGTGCATAGAACTCAGCTGGCATACGGTGCGCACTTCTAGAGTGCTGGAGAATTCCCTTCTGCGTGGGAAGCAAAAAGTGTAGAGAGGCTTCGTTAGAAAAAACACGTGTGACTGGTCCAACCTAAGCCATACCAAACGATATTGAAATTGGCCTGTGTAACAACTAGTCGCTTGATTGAATCACTTGATTGTTATTTATGCTTACATAGTTTACCATATAACAGCAGTCGGGCATGGATGAGACATTTTGGCAGATCAGAGATGAGAGGAATTCAGCTGTGCACGGATAAGCATTCTTGGATAATGGGTGCGTCACCCAATGTGGTTTCATTTTAGCTGATTGTTTCCCACCCTGTTTGTGTATCCGAACAAGCGCTCTGATGACGATATGCTGGTTAAAGCACTTATCATTGTGTAGCGTAAGTGAGGAAGGACAAGTCTCCATGCACTGTTGCTACCACCGAGGTTGAAAGTTTCGTTAATGCCGCCGGTTGATGACTCAATAGTTGGGCCACAGACACGACCCAGTGAATGACAAACTCACCCTTTAGTATAAGCGGTAGTCACAGAAGGAAACGGTCAAAATTTTCCGTAGCGAAGCATATAGGTGTCTTGAAAGGCGTCCTAAAAACACCCAAAAGCGAAAACACAATTAGTCATGCCTCCGGTTCCGATATACTGTCGTACAGCTGGAAGGTTAGTGCTGCACAGAGTAAGAAGCAATCAACGAAACCACCTTCGATTCAGGAGTCAGCAGGCGAATTTGACGACAAGCGAAGATCTGTTGCTCACTAAGGCGATTCAATCGCCCGTTGCATTGAAGCAACGGGGGCTTGAAAACCGGGGCTTCAAAAACCATATTTAGTGTTGGAGGAGACGGTTCGGTGTTCAATCATTCATTATAGCAATAGGTCTAGCTTCTACGTCACTCAGTCTGGTTTTCTGAACGAGTTTCAGAAAACAAGTCTGAACAGAAACTTCAATTTATAGATCAATTGCCCAACGTGATCACCTGACATCACTTCGCACACATCGCTTGCAGTGCAAAGCTATTTACACAATAACTGCGACACTTTTTCGATCTGTCTGCTTGAGCTCACTGCATCGTTGACAAGACGGTGCGGGTACGTCACAATGAGGATATACCACAGTGGACGAGTCATTGGCCGGTACGGATCAGCGGTTAGAGCGCGAATTTACTGACCCGAAGGTCTGTGGTTCGAGTCCGACCTCTTTCTTTCGACTTCCCCTGTCTAGGCTTGGGCAACCTGGCAGTATACCAGCCCTCATGCTTCCTTCTGGTGGATTGGAAGTTAGGCACCGAAATGGTTCTACAGCTAAATGATTTTTTAATCGATCAGCTGACTCCATTGCTGATCAGACGGGGCCCCTGGGATATCTACCCTGAAACTCTTTTAGATAATAATATATCACGTCGGAATAGATGAGTGAGATGCCTTTTGTGATAAACATGCACCCAGTTTGTTTGTTTACTGGTCGTTTCTAATGGGTGGATTGATAGTCAACCTAACATACTACTAACGACGTCTTCGTAAGTCAATAAGTCGGTCATTTGGAGTTGCGGATTTATGAAAGCCTTGAATCGTTTCGACCCCGGTCACTATCGCTGCTTCTACTATAGCTCAACGTCGACAGTTCACAGTGAACGATTCGAACAGCATTATCATGACTCCTGTCCACCAAAGCTCCGTCAACCACAGGGAAGCGCAACGTGGCAGGCAGCCACATCTCAATACAGCATCAAAGATGTTTGCGTGAAGTGCAGCGACTGACTGATAGTGGTTACAGCTTTTTGATAGGTTTTTAGAAACCATGCGGCTACCGCTGAGATTATAATTAACGCGACTACAGGTTGGCGTAGGCTTAGAAGTGCATTGGTGTGTGCTTATAAAAGTGGTTAGGGCTTGGGGTCTCATTGGCAGAACGGCGGCCATACGACAAGCAGTTCGTCAATGAAAAATATGGCACTGATGAAGACATCCTTATCACTGAGTAAACATATAGGGTTACTCCAGGAAACTGGAAGTGACAAAGTATGTCACAATACTGCTCATCTGATTGTCGTTTTTCACTTCCAAATATGGCGAATTCCGCTGAATCATCAAAATATCAGGGATGAATGGCAAAAAGGCCTAAAGGATTCCGAACGTGTAATACAAAGTTAAGTACTATCATTTTTTGGAAAATATAATATTCACACCAAATATTCCCCAAGTTATTGCAAAAGATGACGACGATGGCCGACTTGCACTCTCTGTCCCATTTTTCTTTGTTCAAATACACTGACAGGATTGCCAGTGAGTCAACAGTGTCCTCATTTGATATCAGTGTCATTGACAATGATGCAACAACGAACTGTAATAATACGGACAAGTTCAAGCATCGGTTGTCGTGTGGGGCTACTAACCGGATTATCTTGCCGCGTTCAGCAGAGCGTAAGTGGCAGTTAAGCCTCACGCCCCACTACTGGTGTACTGTCCAAGATGACGATAATTATACACCCAAGGTAACTTACTGTAGCATGGTTACTGGAAAGCAGGAACTCTAGCTGAACGTTCTCCTTAGCCATCCGAAGTTAACAGGGATAGAATTTAAATAGAATAAATAGAATTTAAATCTATTCAGCAATTGAGGGGAAGCAGAAGGGCTGAAATTTTGCCGGACCGTCTAAGAATAGACAGGAACCTCTGAAAAGCAAAAGTTGGGTTCGAAACACGGACCTGCCGGTTAGTAGTTCCGCACCGTAACAGATGGTGTTTTGGCAAACGTCCCAAATTGCTATCTAGGCTGCACTTTTTGGTGTAGTTTCCTATAAACGATTAAATCGAATGAACGTTCTCCGGAAGTAAGATCTTTCGCGGGCTAAGATCGTTGACTTCATGGGAGTGCCTGCATCTCGAAAACTATTGCAGTCACTCAGTGCACTGCGAGTGCACCTGAGAATAGAACCTGTTATTGATCACTACTCCACGAATTGTAACGCCGTACTGTTCAGCTCTCCTTGACACTGAAGATTGAACCATACACTAGAGAAGCTTGACGTCATCGAATTATTGACTTCAGTATGAGATAGCCACATAGTCAAAGTCCAATCCGTGCACGGCACTGTGCGGCCCCATTTATCACCGACAGTTCTGAGAGAAAAAGCATCGTGAAAGTTGAATCAGGACTAGTGTGCTTGTATGATCACAAGAAAAGTTACTGTGGAGATCGGGAGCATCAAGGAGCGGTGCAATCGGCAGCTGCAGTGCAGGTGGGTAAAATCTAGTGTAAATAGTACCTTGCCATGGGTGTTTCAAAATAGCCCAACCCATGTACATGCTTCCACTTTGGGTGAAAACGTTGATGGACTTCAGGTTCGAAGACAAATGGACAGTTTTCTACAAAGAACAAAAGAAAACAAAGTAGCACCGAAACCACAGTTTAGGGCGTGTCGCGTTTGTTCCTGCAGACGTGACGGGAAGCTAACGCATGCGGATTAATGGACAACTGCGTGATGTACATAGTGACCCTAAGAACCAAGTCTTTGTGATATCATGTAAAATCAATTTCATCAGGCATTGGAATACGTTAATTATATTTTCTGGTTGCACAGTGAGCAATTCAGTAAAGAATACAATGAATGAACGTAAGACAAAGAGCGCGTGACATGAGAGGCGTCTTTCTATTCGGTGTTGTAATAGTGAGTATATTAATAAATATAAAAATAAATAACTGATAGTTTTTTAATATGAAAGCGGTGAAAATACAGCACCATAGAACTATATGATCACATTAAAAAAACAGGATACGAAACGGAAAGGACGGCAGATCATAAGAGCCACTAGATAGCACGATGTTCCACCCAAAGAATTGGTGACCCATTGCGGGCATAAATTGGGGATGAGAGAAAGCAACTGATATGGAAATAAGAAATGCAGGTCCACAAAACAAACAGTGCAACACAATGAAAACAAAAAACAAACAGCGTTTGAAGGGAACGGAGAATTAAAAAAACAACGATTCAGGGAGGGAACAGGGCAATGAGACAGTGCCTTGACTAGAATAGACAAAGTACAGAATCTTCCTTCCGAAACATTCACAAGTCTTCAAAACCTATCAGTTCGACCAAGCCAACAGAGAAGCTGCAAGCCTCTTTGTTTGCGCCGAACTGTGCTGTCATATCACTAACATCCGATATCAGACAAGGGTTGTCAAAAGTTGCGCTAGGACCACTGGTTCCGGTGGAAAGTTGGACGTCCAAACCCAGGCCTGGTAGTCCCGAAGTAGATGGCCCGCCGACCTGTATCCCATCAGCAGTTGCATACTGAAAGCTTTGGCTGCATCCTTCATGGACGGTTGACGAATCTCGAGCCCCAACCCAAGAATAGATGGCGATCGGCCCCGGCCGAACTCGGAACAAAAAACACATACCATTACCAAAGTAACTGGGCCGTTTAGGAACTTGCCAGCGATGGGAACAAAATGCACCTATCACCGTGCATCCTGAACTACTTCTGACCAAGAGGATTGATTCAGGATGTGTTACGGATGCAGCTCGAGCATACAGCGTTTGAAGACTGGTACCATCAGTGTTTGTGTTAAACAACAGCACTGGCTTACACAATTGAACCAATCGCTCAGCAGCGATCGACCGGATCAGGTAGGCTAATTCAGATACACTAATACACTGAGAAGGATGAACATAAGTCGTTGGGCTGGAAGTTTCCCATGGGAGGAGGTATGACGCGCAAGTTGCATATCCGGCCTTGACACAAGGGCGAATGAGTAGCGAATCTGGAATGGCTTGATCCGGAAAAGCCGCTAAAAGGACGCAAAGGGCATTGTAATTAGCTGAATTTACTGTAGCCGATCATAGCTAAAATTAGAGTTCGATGTGAAAAGCCGAATAAATTCGTGTTGAAAGGGAGTAACACTGCGTGATCCTCACTGAGAAGTAATCGGCATCACACGAGACCCTCGCAGTATCCCACTCTGTAGTGAGGCTGAGGACAGTATATCTGGCCCACGAGTACATTATCCGTGCATACATTAGGAACAGCGTAGTGCTGATGCGCTGACAAAACTATGAAAAAGCTACCAATGTGGTATTCGTGGGCATAAGATTAGCGAGAACTGTGTTAGTCGCGTACGGTTAAAAATGGATTACAGAAATGAAGACAACGAGGTCAATAAGCTAGGCATGACTAGTTTTGGTTGGCTATCGACATACCTAGGCCACTTCACTACTTGTGATCAGTCACACGGTTCACCCCAACTGATCGTTCTTCCTCCACAAAAACCTGATAGATAACAACCCACAAACATGGGATTGTCCGAAAATTGTTGGAAGTGCACACACACGGACAGAGTGAATGCTGAGGACCATTACTATACGATTAGAAAAGTTTTGTATGGCCTCTAGAAACAGTAACTCATTAAGTCCGATCTTGTAAAAAGACACGAATCCTCGCTTGCGATAAACTATAACGTTTGGTAAATGGATTTCAGTGGACCCTTCATTTACTCATGATGACGAAAACCAAGTAAAGCAGATACACAGGAGTGGCGGTCATCGATAGCCCCTAAAATTAATAAAAACACTGGAAAGTGTGGTGTAAGAATACGTTTCTAATATCGGCTACCTTGAGTAGTCATTGACAGTAGATACCATACCCACGGCCTCATTGAAACTAATCTCCGCAGTTCCGTAAAGTGTCCATTTGCTTCCAACGTATGCAGCCCAAAATACTGGCACACCATTAGACTACTTCGCTGATTTCACTTCGATCAGCGAAGCGGCCGATGGTCATCGCTACAATCTGAGGAACCAAAATTCTGAAGTCGCAGAATGTGGGGTTCAATTTCGTGAAAGTCCGGAAGGCCTCACAGAGCCGGTCGAACATGTGATCCGACGAAGGAATGGTGGTATGTGTTCACCTTGGCAAATTGACTTTCGGGAGGAAAACCACACTTGAAGGCTACAGTGATCCAAGTAATAAACACCGAAAATATTCGACTATTTGTTGGTTCATTTTCGATGGTTTTGGCTTTGGTAGGTAGCATAAATGTGATAGACTCAGTGCACAGACGTTCCGTCTATTAGTCCTCAGACAATATACCTAGCTTAATCTGAGGCCAGTGTATCCACATTAGCGATAGGTGCTACAAATACATATAAGCAGTTTTATCGATGCTCTCCTCTCCGTCCTTCTCAGCAAAGTTGGCTTTCTATGAGAAGGTAGAGATAATTTAAACAACACGAGTATCTTCCCGCAAGCGATGCCTTAAGACAACGTCCAGTTGAATGATTAGTCCAGCGACTGAAGTTAAACATGTAGATAGTGGCGGCTTTCCACCGGGAAAATCAGCGGACCAAGTCAACTCCTATTGCTTGTTACTCTCTCTCTCTTGGGTTCGAGCAATACTAGTGGTTTCGAAAGTAAACATGACAAGAAGTTGCAACAAATACACTTATCTTCAAATCAATTTGGTTTTCGCGGAAGACTCAAGTGAACCTCTCATTTATGATGTTCTTCAACTGAACTTGCTGCACAAAGGTTGCCTCATGTTTCAGTTGGTATAATATTCGAGATGTCGCAGTACTTCATCATAAAGGAAACTGAAAATAGCCCACGACCGGTTTCGATCTTCTTGGGGCTCATCAGGTAGGCGCAGTCCTCGAGTTTCTGGCCACCTTATGTTATGATTAAACCCAAATTGGACTGATTTCGACAAATACACTTATTTGCAAATCAAGTTGGTTTTCACGGGAGACTCAGGTGAATCTCTCGTTTATGATGTTCTTCAACTGTGGTTCACTTGAGTCTCCCGTGGAAACCAAATTGATGCGCAAATGAGTGTATTCGTCACAATCCGTCCTATTCGGGTTTAAATAGGACATAAGGTTGATGGGAAAGCGGGGGCTGCGCCTAGCTGATCGTGGAGTTTTAAGCAATCTTGTGAGTAGTCTCGCTTATGGCAAGAAACTGTCGAAAAGTACCACAATCAAGTTATCGGTGGTTTACAAGATAATATCAACAAGTTACGTAGTTAAGACTACGCGAAGTGTGAGGTCAGCGCGCAAACAGTAAACTCACCTTCAAGCTGCTGTACACGCTGGATAGCCTTTCTGATATCATTCTGACTGAAGTTGAGAATGGAGAACATGCGCTTTACGAATAAACCTGGGCTAAGGGGCATGTGGGTGGCAGCTTGGACGAGATCCATCGGTTTGGTTAGAGTATTCAGGGTCAGCTTGTAGGCGAACTTCCACAACTGTAGAATATGGAAAAATAGCACAGAAATCATATGAGATGTACATAAACTGATGCTTGTGACCGAAATTCAGCAAAATCCACCATACGCCGAATCTATTAAACTCGGTAGCATCTGTAGCATACCGGAGAAAAGGAGTGCCGCTGACCGCTGAGAAACCGGGACGGAGGGAGTTTCCTGGCGAACACCTTGGCTTCATATACATTTTTACTTGAAATTTACGTGTATTGCATCGCTTAACACAACCTACAGATTGATCCATCAAACTTGCTAAGACACCTGGAAGCAAGCGGGGATATGGACATAGCATCAGTGTTTGAAGGTCAGACAAAGCTGAACTAAGAAGCCGGTTCGTTCATGTGTGCTTGACGTGACAACCGGATTTATGGAGTCCCACCACTAAAGCCTTCCCACCTCTATTTAACTTCGGTGCTCTTAGAGATTCCGTTAAATTTCACCTACTACTAAACAAACAGTAGAGATTAAAATTGAGCGCCGACTGGTGGGGTCACCATAATAAGGTCGTTCCTTTGTTTCCCAAAGTTAGCGCAGTGGCGAGTTCGTAAATGGTACTCACTGTTTACTAGTGACACAAGAAGACTGAGCTTTTATGGTTACAGAAAGTCACTGCATATTAATGAGTGCATGAGTTTCCACTGTCCCAACGGGGCGTAAATCAGTTACGAACCGATGAAACAACGTTGCCTATGCACGGTCTGTCGAACTCATTCAAATGAAGACGTTGTAAGGCTTTCGTTTAACAACACATACCAGAAAATTCGACAATTTCAGCAAGTGAGTCGACAAGGCCATTCCCATGAGGCCACACCAGTTCCCCCAAAACAGTTGGATTGTCCAACCTTCTCGGGACAAATCGCAACTGAGTGAAACGACAGATGTGTCTATCTAGTAGTTGGTTAATCTGCACTATTTGGGGCAGAGATGCAAGAGAAGCATGTTTCCATGACGGACAAACAGACGACAAAACAGCGATGGACCGCAGAGTTGTAACTGATAGTTGTAACCGATAGAATCTATTTGAAGGAAGGTCATGAAAGAGGCCCATAATGACTGAGGTTGCGTCGGCAGAATCACCTGAAATAGCTAACAACAGTTTGAAACTTCGGTACATTACAGATGTTGCTCGACTGCATAACGGATAAGAGTTTTATCCAGAACAGAAGGTGACAGAGACAAGAGTATTATTTGCTACGAACCATCAGAATGTTCCAGGTACATCAAGCAACCTTTTAGGTCCAGGCTCGCAACATGACGGCTTCGGTACTTTAAAGGATTAAATTGCACCAAATATATGCCAAACCATGGGTTCGAGAAATTCAAATAGTTAAGCAGGAGAGTAGAACGGCTGCGCAGCGCACACGATCACTGCCTTCCATAAGCAGCAAATAATATGGCCAGAATTGCATACAATAGCAAGCGGATCGGACTAATCCGCACGATAAAAAGCCGACAAATGATCGTCATAGCCCGTGGTCGTTCCTATGACCAGCCAATAGGGGGAGGATTAAAATACAGAAGGTAATACGTCAAAACACTGTTAGTTTGTTTATGCGTTGCTGATCAGGTGGCTGTTCATCTTTGAGCCCAGTTTCGCAGCCAGCCTGCAGACGCTACATTACCAGTCGAAAACTCGTTGTTAGATAGGTGCTTCTTTCTTAATTGCTAGTATCTCCTGATTTAATTAGCCTTCCCGGAATTTTATTGGCCCAGTCGCGAGATTGCAGCATAGGTAAGGAGTAAGTGCCACAGAACTATGCACTGATGAGGGCTCTTCGACTGGTGGTGAAAGGTCTCTCTTAACTAATTTCCAAGTTCGAAAAATAACTCGAAAGCCTCCTGATCACAGACCAACTTACTGAAGTCAGACAGGGTTCAGCTAATCCAACAGATGCGGTGGTTCGAGACTTAATACTTATCCCTAATGGTGGTCAAAATAGGTGCCCCTATCCAGCGGGCTTCGCGAACACCTGTGCACAGTAGGTATTTCGAATTGAAATACAATGGTTCCAATCCTTGACGTAAACTTGCATGCTGGAGTCTCAGGCTTGAGTAACTTCACATGTTAGTTAGTGCTTCCTGCATTCTGGTTGCTAGCAATCCACGACGCCGGCTAAAATCTCCTGACCAGTTAATGGCATCGGTTGCTCATCCACCAAGCTGAGTTTCTTGTGTAAGCGATGATTGTAACATGAAAACGGGTTAACAGTTGATCTGGTACAGAACAGCGTGCCAAAAGGTGGACTTCTAGGTATGGACAAATTCACTCGGTCCATTTAAGCTACAGATGGCTCAGCGGTTAGGGTGCGAAAGTGCTGATCGGAAGGCCAGTGGTTCGAACCTGAACCTGAACATCGATTCTCGATTCTTCCTATCTAGGCTTGGGTAACTGGGCAGTAGCGGAAGTAAAATGGGTTCTTCCGCGTAGAATGAACACCCGAATAATACTTTAGTCTTCCACGTCGGCTTCTTTGAGTGGATTTGACAACACCTACCATTGGCTCTCGTTTAGGACGATAAAACGTTTCGCGAAAGAACGGAGGTAAAGTACGGAACACCCTTAACGTACGCTTTTGCTCGGCTCTTTGTTATGTTTATGACAGGCTGCCCTTCGCTCTGCATTGCTACGGAGCGTTCTAATTCCCCGCTGATTTCTACGGAACTTTTTCTCTTGGTGAGCATTTAGGCCCGTCACAAGTGACTTTGGAAAACGATGACATTCGCCTGTAATTAAAACTTCGCACTTTCTAGAGCTATCTATATATATTCTCCCGGCATAGCCGCGCGTGTGAAGCGCCTAAAAAGCCCTATTCTTCAAAGTAATTTTGTGTACACTTAATTTAGACTGCAATCCAAGACTGCCCGAACAAAAATGTATGCCTGACATGGGCCAGTTCACGTTTTTCATCATGAAACGGTTACATGACCAGTTACTCGGACATGCTATGATGCAATTCTGTGCAGCTAGAAGTCCTACAAGGTCAGTTCTATGGACTGGATGATTCCAAACACCAATGGTCGTAATACATAAGCTTTATCTCAAACCGCTTGTCCGCAGTGATTCGATGCCCTTGATGGCATTACTGGCTTTTAAGTCAACAGTCTTTGAATGGATACCCGTTGGTTCCACATTAGCCGTTGTTTTCGGTATGGTATGGTGTAACCACAAAATACACTTTTAAGCCAGACCGCCCTCTTCTTCGAAGCATCTCTCTCTGGGATCGGTCTATCAATTGCAATGAAAAAAGAGACTATGCCATTGTGTTTTGTCCTTAGAAGCTTTCTTGAACGAAAGCATTGTACTTCGTTCTATACGAAGGTCTTATGGAATGTATGCGGTGTTGTCAAATCTTAAAAATCTGCGTCACTTGTGATATCAGTAGGACATATTGCTCGGTTTCAAGGTGGCACATAGCCAGCCACGGTAACACTTGTGTTGCGTCGTTGCGAGCCATGGTCCCTGCCATGGGTCCCAATTCGTGTGGAGCGTTGTCCGTATTTGATGACATCGATGAACTCCCAAAGGAGTAATTAGAAAATGCGGGCTTGCTTGCGCAGAACGTATTTTAGTCACCGAAAACCGTGCACCACTCCCAAAATCGATGACGACCATGTGTTAGGGATACCTAGAGAGAGAGAAGTATTGTTTTTAGTGGCTCCTTCAGAATGTAGCAGAATGTAAGATGGAAAACGTGTGACGAGGCGTATGGGTTGGGTAAGGTTCGAAAAACTTGGATATTGTTAGTATGGGATAGGGCCCAGTGGCTTTCTATTAACATTGATGGAACTGTTGAATATGCGACCACTAATGCCAGTGTCGTTCATTCGTATCCAGATTATCTGACTGAGCGTTTGGAAATGCAAGCAACTTAAAATGTTTGCAACCATGTTCACTGCGTTTTCCCTTCACAATGTCGGGATAAGCAAACACACTTCTTAGTGGACCAGAAGTGAAACATCAGTGTCGAAAGTGACGTTGCTGTCTACGATGGCGATGACCAGCTAAACCAAGAAACAAGTCACCTGCAAGGGGTTTCATAATCATTTCCGGTTATCACACTATTCATAAAAGCTAAGAAGCTAAAGTATGGTGGAGATAGTCTGCGTGAGCATTCCGTAACAAGCGGTCGATCAACTTGGCGGGAAATCGATAGTCTCCTCGCTATTCCGTTCAGTTTCATTTAATTTCGTCTCCGAAACAAACTGGCTGATCACGTCAACTGAAATCAGACTGAATTCGAGCTGGACTGTTGTACACTTGAGTAGAATCACACTCGTATTTTTGTCGTGAACTCAGGTGACATAACAGAGGCGGGTTGATGTCCGGGAATGAGGTCACCGATACCTATGCCAGCAGTCAATAGCTAGCAACCACTAAAATTCAAAAGTAGAAAATTTCCCTTGAGCAAATTCTCTAGTCTTGTGCTGATTTCCAATTGATAAAGAGCAACACAAGATATACCAGTCAGTATCTGTTGGAGAAAGACATTTTAGTAAGTACAGCAGAGGAAGGAAACAAAGCTGAGCGCTGGACAAAATGCGAACTTTTGCGAACAGCACAGAAGGGTAATAATATTCTATTCTGAGAAACTTCAGTGGTTCCGTTATCCGTTGTTCGTAACCTACGTCTTAGCTCACTCTGAGAGACCCACATTTTTGTGCACAAAAATTCTGCCACTCAGACTGGTCAATAAAGCAAACCAGCACAATCGCCCAATCAACCACTGAAACTGCTAATTATCGCAAACAGTGCTGGTTGTGAAATCGTTAAAATTGCTTGAGTCATGTTGGGTTTTAGCATAAGATGATTAATACCTTACTGTGTGCGTAAGCTGACAACCGAACAAATAATGAGAGAAGTGATTTTCACACCACGCACAGCTGCAATAGTCAACAGAGTGGAAAGACAGTCTGGCGCCACTGATCCCCCTAATCCTTCTGAAGAAAGGCTATAATACATTGGTGGGGATATGTTAATCAGT